GCTGCTGCTGTTGCTGCTGCTCCTGCTGTTGCTGCTCCTGCTGCAGGAGCTGCTGCTGCTGCTGCTGCTGTGGTCTGTCTGTCTCGGCCATCGTTAGATTGTCGAGGCTGCGCTGCGATGTCGGCGACAGCGCATCCTCCGAACTGATGTAGCTATCCTGAAAGTTCTCGATTTCGTGCAGCAGACGCGCCGGCGGCTGTTGCTGTGCGTCCAGGTGCTGTCGCAGCTGCTCCAGCCACACGTACAACGTCTCAAAGCATGGACGCATATCCGGATTCAGATCACAGCAGACAAAGGCCACCTTGACGAACGCCTCCGGGCACTGGGCGCAGAACTTTTCGCGAAACTCCTGCTGGTTCAGACTGAAATCCGAGTTGCGTGGCATATAATCCGGATCGGCTTCCACACGGCCAATTATCTGGGAGGAGAGAGCAAGAGAGAGAGAGAGAGAGAGGGCAGAATTATTATTGGCTAATGTATGGAGAGCATCTTCGATATATCGTTATATCGATATTGACTCACCTCGCAGAGCATGATGCCAAAGGAGAAGACATCGACTTTCTCATCGTACTTGAGGCCCTTCATCATTTCGGGCGCCATCCAATAGGGATTGCCCACCACTGTGTAGCGCTGCCGGCGCTGTCGGCTCTTGCTGCGCCGCAGCGTGCCGCTGGGCGACATGGCACTGGCATCGATGGAGCCCGAATTGGAGCTGGCGGCAGAGCCGGCACCGACACCGGCACCGGCACCGGTGGCAGCGCCAGCGCCGGGCAGGCGCGGTGCATCGACACTGCGCGCCAGACCAAAGTCGGCAACGATCACCGATTGATCCTCGCGCACGAGACAATTCATTGAATTGAGATCACGATGGATGATGTTCATCGAATGCAGATAGCTCATGCCGCAGGCGATGTCTCTGGCCAGGCAGACGCGCTGCGACCAGCTGAGCACGCGACTCGAGTCGTGGATCAGCTCCTTGAGGCAGCCGCCGGCCACATACTCCGTGACCATGTGCAGCTTCTTGTCCTTGTAGAGCACGCCGATGAACTTGAGCACATGCCGATGGTCGAGCAGCCGCAGCACGGCTACCTCCTTGATGAAATTGCGCTGCGCCTCCTCGTCGGCGCGATGCAGCTCCTTGAGGACCATCAGCTCGCCGGTGAGCCGATGCGTTACCTTAAACACCTTGCCAAAGAAGCCCTCGCCCAGCTTCTCGCCCATCACCAGATCGGAGGCGCGAAAGATGCGCTGCGGCTTCTGGACGACGCGACAGCTCTGCGTGCGCGACAAATCGTATAGCTGCGGATGCGCCGAGTGCTGCTGTGCCGTGTGCTGTTCGTCCAGCAGTTTCGAGAGGCTCGAGCAGCGCTCCTTCTCCTTCAGCTGCGACGACAGTTGCTCCGCTGGATGTTGCTGCTGCTGCTGCTGCTGCTGCTGCCCCGTCGTTTGCTGCACTGATTTGCTGGTTTGCAACGTTTGCTGTCGCATCTTGCGCATCTTGCCGCTGGGCTCGGTGGCCGCTGCCTTGTACAGTCGCTCACGGCCACGCCCACCGACCTCAACACTGGACGCAGACGTGCTCAGCGGCAGGATCAGAGTCGAGGCGGAGCTGGCGCGCTGAATGTCCGCCTGGCTGCAGCTGCGACACACCTGCACCGGATCGTGCTCCACCGTTAGCTGCAGCATCTTCTCATTGCTGCGTATCAGCTTGTCGATCTGATCCACAGACGAGTTGCTGACGGGCGTGCCATTCACCTCCAGAATCCGATCGCCGATATGCAAATTCGTGAGATTCACATCGATCCTGAAAAGCATGCGCACAAATTATTGGATCAATGAGCTTTCAAGGATATTCTTGAGGATTTTGGATATGTTGGGGTTCTTGGTTTACCTACATATATGAAGCACAACAACGATCCGCCACCGAGGTGAGCAGGGAGAAGGCGTATTTGCCCATGCGACCGTAAAATTTACAAATTAAGCTTGATAAGCGTGACACAGTGTAATTAAAAAAGAGACAGAGACACGCACAAACAGAGCGAGAGAGTGAGAGAGAGAGAGAGAGAGAGAGAGTAGGAAAATAAAACCAACACCAGGCATTAAAATATTGCTAAGAAATTTCAATTACAAATTAATAGTTCAAGTGGAAGCATTCAAAGCAGCTTTTTCTTGTTCTGCCCAAAGCACATTAGAGCTTTTGTAGCGAAAGCTGCTTTAAATGCTTTCCTTAAAAAAGCTCTTAATGAGCACATAAACTACTTTACTGTTAGAGCTTATTGATTTTGATTAATTTTTAGCATAGAAGCAAATTATTGATAGAGCTTTTCCCAAAAATTGTAGTTTCTAGTATGTATGATAATAGTATCAGCTAAATCAAGCTTTTACGACAATAATATGCTTCTATATTAAGCACATTTATTTTTTGAGATTTTACATAGTTTCATTCTTAAGACTTTTCCCCACATACAAACATGCAAGAAATACTCTTTAGATACTAACTAATGCATAATACATATAATAATAATACTATCTAAACATTTGCAACTAAGCAAACCCTTTATACCCTGATTTCCCATATTCAATGGGTTCAAGGTATAAAATGCTATAAAATAAATTAATTTGAAGTCATTTAGCTATTTTCTAAATATGAATTTTATTATTAGTATTTTTTTTTTTTTTTTTTTTTTTTTTTTTTATTTTTTTTTTTTTTCCCTTTTTTTTTTTTTTTTTTTTTTTTTTTTTTTTTTTTTTTTTAAGTTTCTGCTAGTCTCCTGCATTTTATTAGTTTTTTTTTAGTATTTTAGAAAAAAGCTTTCGGATTAATTGTCATTGAAAGCTTTTGCTTAATATAACTTATATACCAGCTGTTGTATTTAAAGTATTTTTAGTAGTAGTAGTAGTATTCCAAGCTCATTTTTAATGCGTATTTAACTACCATAACTAATTTGTGTTATCATAAATATTTTTGTCTATTATTTGAACTATATGATCTTTGATCATTTGCTATTTATATAAGTATAGCTTTTAGTTTTAAACAATATTTTATTAGTATTTAAATCTCGTGTTATTCTATTGTATATTCTACTAGATACGTAAGTTATACGTTGTTTAGCCATTTTTAATTTGGTTGGCTACTTACTCGGTTATCCGCACTGTGGGACAACCATCGTCCAAGGCTCCACCGTCCACACGCAGGCCGGGCGTCGCATCCTTGGGTATCTCCACCAGGCGTATGGAGTGCATTGGCTTGCCCGCATTTGTGATACGTGCACGAGCATCGAGGGGTAGGCATTTGCCATAGCACAGGCCGCAATAGAGCTTGGAGCGTTCGACCAAGGCGTACGATTCGCCCTCGCCAATGAATGAGCCGCAGGCGGCACAGCAGAAGCATTCCGGATGAAATTTATGCTCGCCGGCAACCATTACGGGCCCCGTTATAACCGCCGTACACTGCTGACAGGCATCGCCGAAACGGGCATAATAATCCTCGCGGCAATAGAGCAAGTTCTCACGCTCAAAGTACCAGCTATGCAAGTGGGAGTCGCAAACGGAGCAGCGAAAACAATCGCAGTGCCATTGCTGGCCGAGTGCCATCACTATCGGCTCATCGTTGTGATTGTTGGCGATCAGCGGGCAGAGGCAACTGGCGCAAGCTGGCAGCGCAGCCGCCGCTGACGCCGCCACTGCTGTGCGCTGTTGTTGTGCTTGTTCTTTTTGTTGATGCATGGAAATGTATGTGTGTGTGAGTAATGTGGATGTGTGTATGTATGCGTCGCTTGCTGGTTGAAGAGAAGAAAGAGGGAGAGAGAGAGCATATGAGAGCACAATGATGTTGATGAGAGCAATGTTTGTTTGTGCAACGATCTGGCAAGCCTTTGTTTACTGAACCGGTTTTGCAAATGAACTACTACAACACACATTGCACATAGCTGCGCCGCTGGAGCTGGGTGCAAATCAAGTCGAACTACTTATCAACTAATCCGAGCATGATGTCATTTAGCCGGCATATTACATTGAAGATTGAATTAATATCTACACAAATACACAATATCGACACACACTATTCACAGCATCTATGCAGATCACGTGACCGCACGGAACTAGTTCAATGGATCTGTAGCGCGCAGCTCTATGGGAATTCCAAATGCGCTTGGGGGTGGGCAACCTATTGTTATTGCCAGCATTGACCCTGAGAAATGGTGTTGTGACTGACTCTTTCTTGCCCAACGTATGACTGCATGACTTTTTAACATCAGTATCAGTGCTTAATATAACTAATGAAGCAAGCAGTAGCAGCTGACGCAGCTGTGTTGTTATGCACATATAATTTAAAAAGAAAAACAAAAAAAACACACACACATAATATGACGAATGCACAAACACAAACAAAAACATACACATGTACACACACACGCGCGCAAAAAACAGTTGAAATGTTGAACGAAATGTGTGTGGGGGAACGGGAACAACGACATCAGCATTAGCAAATGGCAAAGCCTGTGCTATTGTTGTTAAAGTTGTTGTTGCATTCTTACTAATAGTTGTTACTGCCAAAACTATACACATGACACACACATGTACGCGCGCGCACATACAAAACAATACACACACTAACACACTTACATAATTTTATCTTATATTTTGTTGCTGTTGGCTAATGCACATCGCAAATTTAGATGCATTGCGTTCTCACACCATTTTCCACAAGCGTTTGAACGTTTGGCCACTTCAATTACTCCACACAGTTCGAAAATAAAAAACAAATGCATTTGTTTAAAAAAAAAAACCAAAATGAGACTAGCGTTGTGTGTATAGTGCGACCGCGCTAGACTCAATCCAAAAATCCCAAAGACCGTTAATACCAAAACAAACAATGCGATAAATACCATAGAAATACCAGACGCTATAGCAGCTCGAGCTTAGTTTTTCAAAAAGTTAAATTTTCAATTTAATTTTTTATCTATTTCTTTTTGTAGATTTTTCCAACAACTGACAAATTGTAATAGACTTGCTTTATGTACATCGAAAATAATGTATTTCGTTTTGGTTTTTATTTAACATGAACAGCAATTGTTCGGCCTATTTAACTTATCTCATCGAATTTGTGATTTATGTTTTTTAATTTAAATGTAAATCTCTCAAACAATAAAATAAATTAAAAAAATATTGTATGTACAGGGGAATTATATAGATAGATATCTATATATATGTCGTTATGTTATTGTACTGTATTCTTTGTCGTCGTCTCGACGGTTGGGGAATTTTCGCTAACTGCCGGCTCCAGGATCTGTGCCTGGTCAAGGATCTGCTCTTGGTTCTCGCGCCGCTCCTGCTGACGCACTAGCTCAAAGTACAGGCCACGCTTGGCCATCAGCTCATCATGCTTGCCCGTCTGCAGAGGGAGAGAGAGAGAGATATAGATGTTTCTAGGTAAACAGAATCGTTTTTCGACTCACCTCCACAACGCGTCCCTGATCCATGACCACAATCAGATCCGCATTGCGTATCGTGGACAGCCTGTGTGCTATCACTAGGGTGGTGCGATTCTGCACGGCAGTGTCTAGGGCCTTTTGCACCTCCGACTCGCTGGTGGCGTCCAGCGCACTCGTCGCCTCGTCCAGAATGAGAATGCGCGGATTCTTGACCAGCGCCCGGGCGATGGCGATGCGCTGCCTCTGGCCACCACTCAGCTGGGTGCCGCGCTCGCCCACGTGCGTGGCATAGCCATCGGGCAGGCTGGTGACAAAGTCGTGCGACTGCGCCAGCTTGGATGCATCGTAGACATCCGTTTCACTGGCGTCCGGCTTGCCGTAGCGCACATTCTCCAGGATGCTGGTGCCGAAGAGAATGGGCTGCTGCTCAATGAATCCCAGCACATTGGCGCGCAGCCAATAGGGCGAGATGTCGGAGAGCTTGTAGCCGTCCAGCTTGATGTTGCCTGAGGTAGGTTCGTAGAAGCGCTCGAGGAGAGCGGCGATGGTGGACTTGCCCGAGCCACTGGCGCCGACCAGGGCGACCGTCTGGCCGGGTCGCAGCGTCAGGTTGAAGTCCTTCAGCACCAGCTGCAAAGGGGGCAAGAAAATTCCCTATCAGAATCAGTTCCAGCTTAGGCTATGCCCACTTACATGATCCGGTCGCATGGGATAGGCGAAGCAGACGTTCTCGAAGCGAATCTCGCCGTGCAGCCGCTCCTCGGGTATGATGTAGCCGCGCAACAGCTCCACCTTGGGCTGCAGCGAGAGGAACTCAAAGACGCGGCTGCCCGCCGTCAGGCCGCGTATCATGGTGCCCAGCAGGATGGAGCCCTGCGAGAGCGAGCGCTGGACGCCCTGCGAGGCGACCAGGAAGGCCATGAGAGCGCCCGGCGTCAGGCTCTCTGTGGACATCAGGTGGCCGCCCATGAAGAGCGTCGACAGGACGAGGGTGTTCAGGAAGAAGTTGGTCAGGCCCTGGAAGACGGCGATGCCGTAGCCCAGCTCCTGGGCGAGACGCGCCGCCTCGTTCGTCTCCTGCTCGAAGAGCTCCATCTCCCGGTACTCGCAGGCGCTGGACCGCACCGTGCGTATGTTGGACAGAGCCTCCTCGCAGACGCCAGTGGCGCGTTCCGCCTAAGGAATGAGGATCACATATAGAGATATATATATATTGATAAGGACAACTCTCTGCATCGTCATCGTCTCACCTGCGCCTGCGAGCTTTTGCTGAGGGAGCGCAGCTTACGTCCCAGGTACGACATGAACAGGACGACGCAGGGCACGCTGGCCAGTGCGATGGCCGCCATGTGGGGCGATATCATGAACAGGGAGACGCTGCCGCCGATCAGCTGGGCGCCGCTCCTCAGGCCGTGGGCGACGAAATGCTTGAAGGAGGTCTTGAAGTCCTGCACGTCGGCGGTGAGGCGGTTCACCAGCTCACCGGTGCGGTTCTCGTCGAAGAAGGAGATGTCCTGCAGCACGATTTGCTTGAACAGATCCTGGCGCATCCGCGCGGCCATCTGCTCGCCCACGCGACTCAGCAGATAGATGTAGACGAAGGTGAAGCCCGACTGGAGCATGTAGAGACTCAGCAGATTGCTGGCCGGCTTGCTGACGTCCTTCACGAAGGAGTTGTTGATCGGGTCCATCACATAGGTGTTGGCGTAGCGCGCCAGCCTATTGACCAGATCCCCCAGCAGATTGGGTATCCGGATGTTTATGAAGGCCACGATTAGGGCTGCCTGCAATGACAGCGATGACAAGCGGATGCACTGCAGCGAGAGCAGCGGCAGCACTTACCAATATGGCACCGATCAGCTCCCAGGTGTGCGGCTCCAGATATGACCACAGGCGCTTCCAGTCAAAGTTCTTGTCCGTCTCCTGCTGCAGCGTGTGCTGTATGACGCCGGCCAGCCGATTGCCCTCGCAGTGGGCCAGCGCTCGACTCGTCCACCAGCTGCGCGCTGCCACGCCTACGCCCAAACAGCCGCCACCCCAGAGCAAGGCGCGCGCCGTCTGGACTTTGGCGGCCGCCGGCCGTGGTCCGGCCCATTGATGCTGGCGCATCAGCCTGGTGGCATTCTGGAGCCGTGTGCCGAGCGGCGACTGCGGCAGATGCTGCAGCAGGCTCCGACTGGCGGGGCACCCAGAGCGACGAGTTGACGATGAGGGAACATCAGTAGCAGCAGCAACAACGATAGAAAAACAACATTTGATGACATAATCAAGCAGCAAAAAGGGCAAAAACTTTATCATCAAACGAAACGCGCGCGCGTTTCAGCTAGAGAGGGGAGTGGACGACGGGTGCAGGGGAGGCGTGGTGAGGGCGTCTGGGGCAAGGCTGTGTGTGAAGTGAGGAGCGTGTGGAGCAAGTGTACCGCTGCTCTCCACTTGGCTGCGTTACCTGATCATATCGCTGCGATTGCAGTTGCTGAGGAGTAGGCGCAGCATCTGTAGCTTCTATTTGTCGCACTTAACTTAAAAGTAATTAACTATATACGCAAGCGCTTAAGCATTTAACTAACTTGTTGGTTAACCTTAACAATAATAATAATACGCACACACATGCTCACACCTATACGCACACACACACACATATACAGAGACATATAGGCGAACGCACGCACGCACACCTAACATGTTTACTGGTCAGGTGCACGCTGGACAAATGCTAATTGGCATGCATTAAATACTACATTTTAGTATATTTTGCAAGAAATTTAATACGAAAATACTAGCAAGACTTCAATAATGTAGTATTTCTTTTGATATTTAATACATTTCTTTATTATGCATTATAGCTGCCAGCTACGGTACTGATAAACAATTGGAAATATTTGAATTAAACAATTTTAATAACCCTTTACAATTTAATAAACTATATTTAAGGCTCAGGTGTATAGAAAAAATTGTATTGCTCAAAATACATGCTATACACAGTATACAGAGCGTCTTGGACATTCAATCAGTTTCCATTTCCGAATCATCATTATCATTGTCTTCGTCATCATCATCATCATCGCTATCGGAGCACTCCTCGTCGGAGCTGCTGCTCTCATCGTCATCGATCCAGTCGTGCGCCTTCTGATTGCCCGCTATCAGGACCTTCCATTGCTCCAGCTTGTGCAGATCCAAGGCATAGAAATCATTCAAAGTATGCTGTTTCTCATCCTCCTCGTAGAGTCCACCGAACAGATATAGAATGCCTTTGCAGACGCAGAGACCCGGATTCATGCGTGGCGACGGCACATCTGTGCGCCTCGGTGGGCCAAACAGACTGGGTATCTTGGACACATAGGGCGTGGCGGCTTGACTGGAGCCAGGACCGCCCACGGTCACAGTGAATATGCCATCTGTGGTGGTGGTGACCGTCTTCTCGGCAGCTGTCGACTCATCGCCAGCCATTTCTACATCGTTCACCTTCTCCTTATCCGACTTGGAGCTCCCTTTGGTCTTGGGTGCAACCTCTAGCAGGCGCCACACTTGCGAGCTCATATCGAAGGCGAGCAGCTCATCCCCGAATTGCCCTTGCACATTCTCGTCATCCTCGTTGACGTCCATGACGCCGCCAAAGCAATACGCTTTGCCATTTGCTGCAACGGTGCATCCAACACTGTTGCGCGGCTTCGGGCGATAGCCGCCGGGCTTGACAGTGCTCCACTTGTACTTGTTGCCGTTGCCAGACTCTGGAAGGGAAAGGAAATCAAATTAGATATGCAACAATGGATCTCAGATAAGCCCTACTGTCCATATCCAGCATAAACATGTCTGTGTGCGTTATGCCTCGATCCAGATCCTTTTTCATTGAGGTCCTTGCATAGCCACCCCATATGTAGATCTTGCCGTCCGGTGCGGCGGCCATACAGCAGCCGGAGCGCACAGCCGGCACGATCGGGCCCGCAATTTCAATCTTCAGCCATTCGTAAGTCTCCAGCGAGAAGACGTGCACATCGTTGTAGTAGTGATAGGATTGATTGTTATCATGAAAGCCGCCAAAGACGATGAGACGCTTCTTGGAAACGACCATGCGATGTCCGCTGCGCGCACTGGGACCGTTTGGTGCATTGATCTTGGACCATTGGCGCGTCTTCAGGCTGAATGTCCAGAGATCCTTGTAATGGTAGAACTGCAGCTGCGACGGACTGGCGTGCTCCCCACCGAATAGCTGAAAAACCAGCAACATGTATAAAATGGAGAAACTAATTTGTATCTCATCGAATTGCTTACCCAGAGCTGGCCGCCATCGTTAGCTGTGGCAACCATTTGGTGGCCACTGCGTGGCGTTGGGCCCGACGGCGAGCGGAGTTGCTTCCACTCGTTGCGCGGTATATTATAAAAGTACAAGTCGTTATAAATGCAAACTTTAGCTCCATTGTACAGCTCGCCGCCAAAGAGGATGAGCTCCTCTTTTTCGGGATGTGCTACTAGCGAGAAATTGGAGCGAGGCGTTGGTGCTTCGCATACATTTTCGGTTATAGTCGTTAGGCTCTGCTCTTGAGCTTCCAGTTTTTTAACAATATCCGCAATATCCGCCTATAAAATACACAAATTAAAAATTTTGTATACATACTCTTGTTGGAAATTTGAAACGTGCTTTACCTCCCCGAGCTTCTCAAGCATTTTCTTTTGCTTAGCTGCTAGTTTTTTATCCGTCTTCATGGCTGTTTTCTCGGCACCCTTGCCTTTCTTTTTGTTTTTATCCTTTTTACCCATGTCGATTAAATTATAAATACAACAAAACAAAATATAACTTGAATGTTTGAAGATTGAAAGCACGTTTTAGTGACCATATACGCTTAACTCTAGAATACACAGTTTATGCGCAAGTCTTTATGGTATTTCACAACTTAAATTTGGTATTTCAACAGTAACATACAATGGTCTCATCGCTTTGTGGATTTCATAACAGCTGTTGTCAATCGGGCTGCGCTGAAATATGTTAAAAGAGTCAATTTTGCGTTAACAGGCTGCGTTAACAGATAATAGTTAGGAAAGTTAGTCTAGCGGTAACAGACTGGCAACGCTTGCGAAAAGTCGAGTTGGCATTTGTACTCGAAAAATTCCATTTAAACACAAAATAACCAAACTGCAAACACTTATAAATAAGTAACACACTGGCGTAATTGAGGAAAAGTTTCGTGTAAGTGTTTATAGCGAAAATACTATACCAATTATAACAACAAACGAACAAGTAAAGAAAAAATTAAAGGCCCAGGATTGGCACCTTGTGTTTGTGTTGATGTGCTTATGAAGTGGGGCCCAAGTGTGTGTGTGTGTGTGTGTGTGTGTGTGTGTGTGTGTGCACTTTTCTTTCGGTCCATAGACGACGGTGTAGCTGTTGTTATTTTTATAAATATGATGGACGGCTGCTTATCGGCTAATCAGCTGCTTTATGCCTAATTATGCGAATCGGTTGTCTGCAAGTGCCAGCAACCCCACCGCCCGGGCCACTTGGTGCAATTACATTTAAGCGGTTTCAACCCTGTGTATGTGTGTGTGTGTGTTCGTACGTCTATTTGTTTTTGCAGTTCGACTGAAATTTTGACGGCTCTCTGGCAACATAGCTCTCTCTCTTTCTAACTGCCAACCACTGCTCCAATTTAGCTATTTTCACTTTTGAATTTACGTTGATGTCGAAAAAGACACAAATTTACAAAATTTTACACAACATACAGTTATTAAATATTATAAAAATGCAAGTGTAAATAATATACACACATACATGTGAAGCACCGCAGAGCGAATAAAAAAACCTGCTGTGTCAAGCAGTACGAAAACGACAACAACAAATACCAGAGCGAAACCGTGGTAATAAAAACGACGAAAAAGATTGTGAGTGTGAGTGCGTGCGTGTGTGTGTGCGGGACTGTGGGTGCTTCAAGCGGGTATAGGGGCGCGTAGCAAACGTCCACGTAAACTTTTAGCTCAGCGTGGTTATTGTTGTTGCTGCTGCTGCTACTGCAGCCATTGTGATTGTTGGATTATACAAAAAAAAAAGAAGCAAAAAAAGCTGCACAACAACAATACAAGAGAAACAATCAACAAGACATGGGCAAAGCAAAGCACGGCATAACAAATTGACAAATACACATATATTTGTTTGGTTCTATTTTCTAATTTGTTGTTGTCAAAAGCCTAACTCATTTTAAATTTGCCCCCCAGACTAAAGTCGCCTGCAAGCAACAGTAATTAGCAATTTTGATCTGCAAATAATAATTAAGGCGATGTAAGCGCAGGTATCGAAGCATTTGATTGCGCTATCCTAACGTGAATTGAGCACAGCTGTCTTCGAAAAGCTGTGTGGCAGCTTTACTCAATCCCAGGCACTCGCACATACACATGCATGCAGAGATTGAGAAATAACTGTGCATACTCAATTGGTATTTAAATAAGGAGAGGAAAAAAATAACAGAGAGGCCTAGCCGTTGCCAGCTATTTAACATTGCTCTTAAAATGTTTAGCACTAAATTTTACCAAACTTTTAACTGATTGTCTTCCTGTTGCGATTTTGTTTCTTGCAGCTTTCCCAGCTAACGCACTGCGACAACATGTTGCACAACAATGCCAGCGGCTGGCTGCCACCGCCTCAACAACGACGCATGCAGCAACAACAACAAATGCAACAGCAACAACAATTGCAGCAGCAGCCATCTCAAATACATCACAATCAGTCGCCGTCACAGTCACAGCCTCAACCTCAGACGCAGCCGCAGCCGCAGCCGCAGCTTTATGCCAGTCAAATGTTTCAACAACAGCTGCCACAGCCCGGCCAACAAGCATTTTGGCCAGAACAGGAACAACAGTCGTCTTCGCTCAGCTATAACAATTACTTTGCCGGCACAGCACAAGCCAAGCCACTGAGTTATGGATCACCTGCAGCAGTTCCTACTCCTGTTTCTGCACCAGCTCCAGCAACAGCACCAGCGCCAGCACCTGCCGTTCCACTGACCTATGCACAGCCCGATATGATGTCCACTCAACAGCAATATTATCAACCATCACCATTGGTGCATCCCGAGCCACAGATACAGCCAGTTGCCGAGCTCTTTGATAATAATAATAGTGGCAAAAACGATGGCTGGGGTGATTGGGGCGATTGGAATGATAACGTCAACAACAACAGCAATAACAACATTAACAACATTAGCAACATTAGCAACAGCAACAGCGGCATCATTAGCCATAATAATGAGGTGCCGCCCGTAGCTAACGTTGTGGAGGATTCATTTAATGTGCAGGGCCAGAGCAGCTGGCACAACTTCAGTAATAACCTAAACACCAGCAACAACCTCAATGCCAGCAATACCAACAACAGCAACAGCAACAACAACAATAATATTAATACTGAACCAAGCAAATCATTGGAATTGCCGCCTTTACTGTCGCCCTCAGCGGAGCAACTGTCGCCCGTGTCGGAGCCCGAACTGAATGCCATTGTGCCCCCACAAGCTTTCCAAAATCAGCCACTTGCAGCTCCTTCAGTGGCAGGGCCTTCAGTAACAGCAGCCCCTCCAGTGACTGCTCCTCCACCAGCCGCCCCTCCTGTGACCGCCCCTCCACCGGCCGCCGCTCCCATGGCCACCCCTTCTGTGGCCGCGACGTCTGTGCTGCCACCACCGGCAATGGACGCGGCAGCCGGAAATCCTTTCAAGCGCTCCGGTGGACTAAGCCAGCGTGTGAATATATTGGCCACACAAGGTGCAACGGCAGCGGCAGCACCAGCACCAGCTCCAGCTCCAATTGTGCCTATGCCGGCAGCTGCGCCTGTACAGATGATGGTGCCGGAACCAAGCCAGCCGGAGCAGCCGTATGAGAATCAGGAGGTACTGTTAGCAGCGCCCAATGATGAGCGCGCACAATATCTGCAGACGAGTCACCTGTCTGAGCAGCACGAGGAGGAGGCCAACGAGGGCAACTGGGAGGCGGATGGACTGTTGCCGCCACCAGGCCTGTCGCGACTTGTGCTTGGACAGCCAGAGCTGGTGGAGCAGCAACGTCTGGTCACTGGCACCGAGGAACCAGCCAGTCATGTGACCAATGCGCTGCATATGTCCGACCGCCAAGCCGATGGCGAGGATACCTCCGAGGGTGAGCAGCCGATGCGTACGGATCTGTTCCATCCGCAGCAGCAACAACAGCAACAGCTGCAGCAACAACATCAGCAGCACCAGCAACAGCAACAACAACAGCATCTTCAGCAGCAACAGCTGCAGACCTCAGCGCGTCGCGTGGTAACGGGCGTCGAGACGCACGCCCCAGCCGTGGTGCTGTCCGGAGAGCAACGTGAGGTGGTGCTTGATGGCGAGAATCTGGAGGATCAGCGACCAGTACAGCCGCCAGTGTCGCTCACAGCGCCGACAACAGCAGCAGCAGCTGCAGGAGGTGGATTAGGAGGAGTGGGTACAGGTGCATCGGGATCAGCCGCTGCAATCGAACTGGATACGGAAATACATCAGACACATCACATTAGCAACGAGGAGAGTGAGACGAGCGCGCAGCAGCAGTTGCAACAGCAGCAACTGTTGCTAGAGAAGAAGCAGCAGCAACAACATGCACGCGGCAAACCCCGTCCGGCGGCCTCGCTCGATCTGGAGTCCGAGGACGAGTCCGAGGATGAGTGGCTGCTAAGTGATAGGCATGACCTGCCGCCGCGACGACAGCCGGATGAGCGCAGCATGCGCAGCTTGCGCAGCAATCGTCGCCATTATAGCAGCAACAACACGAGCAACAACTACGAAGGCGAAACAGAGGACTCGGCGCGTGCTGTGGGCGGCGGCGGAGCCGGCGGAGGACCAGCTGGCCACAACGAGAGCAACAGCAGCAGCAAATCGGGCCGTGATATGAAGCGGCGCAGCCGTGATGCGGATCAGCATCGCAGGCATGAGCCGGAGCGCAGTGGCAGAGAGCGCAGCGACAGAGAACGGGACCGCGAACGGGAGCGAGAACGGGAGCGTGAACGTGAACGGGAACGTGAAAGGGAACGCGAAAGAGAGCGTGATCGCCATACGTGGCGACGCGACGATACATCATACCGGATGTCGCGGTACAGCAACAACAACAGCAACTACGACGGCGAGTCGGACGCAGCCGTCCAGGCGGCAGCCAGCGATGGCGGCGGCGGTGCCGGCAGCGGCACTGGCGGACGCAAAAGCAAGGGAAGCCGTCACAGCCGCAACGCTGTGCCAGCGGACATCGACTACGATGACTATGAGATGCGTTCGATGCCACGCGACACAGGCGGACGCAAAAGCAAGGGAAGCCGTCACAGCCGCAGCGGTGTGGCAGCGGACATCGACTACGATGACTATGAGATGCATTCGATGCCACGCGGCAGCAGTCACTATCGCTCGAGGCGCTCGGAGAAGCAGGCGCCCTCCTCGCAGCAGGACAAACTGCGCAGCAGTCGACGCAGCCATGATGGCGGGGAGCGAGCGCGGCACTCGCATCATGCGGACTGGCAGCAACAGCAATGGGATCCACGCACCTACGAGGGCTACCGCAACAAGAGCTCGCGCAACAGCGACCTCAAGAAGGACTCGGTCAATGGCAGTATGCAGTATGCAAATCCAACGGCCGGCTACGATCCGTTCAGCATCTACGAGCAGATGTCGTGTGATCCGCGCGCCTATATGGACATGTATACCAAGCTGTATGGCCAGATGATGATGAGCGCTGCGGTGAATGCGGGCGCCGCAACGAAGGCAGTGAAGCATCCGATGCACGATCAACTGATCGGCATGGATCCGAGGGCTTTTGTGGACCGCACCGGCGCTGGCTCCGCGGCTGGCGTTGGCAACGAGGACGCGCTGCTCAGTGAGCGGGAAAGGTAAGTGCCACGGATAAACATGTAGCCAACGTCAATCTCAATCCATGCACGCCAACTTTGCAGATTGAGCAGTTGATCCATTAGGCTAGTTCACTAGTTGTTTGGTTTATCTATGCTAATCCATGGGTCTTAACTAGCTAATGCCACTAATTCCATCGAAATGGGCCAAACTCTCAATAGAATATCAACTAAATAGGCACAGAAACGTATTGAAATGAAACACTTTCACAAATACTTTAACCAAGCACTTATTAATATATATTAATCATGTCGAAAAATTAGGAATCAATCGGGAATGAAACACTCGAGGAGTTTTGTTTGTTAGTAATAATCGTGGAATCAATTGGGAATGAAACACTCGAGGAGTTTTCTTTTTTCGAAGCGTCAGTAGCCTTTGTGGCTGATATCTGTTTATGGAACGACTGGAAATGAAATGCCCGTTATAAATATGATTAAAATTCTATGGCTATATGACTATAAGGGAGTGTGGGAACGATTAGGAAATGAACACTTGACTATTAGTTTACGTTCGCCTGGAACGACTGGAAATGAAACACTTAAGTTATCTAAACTTACATTCGACTGGAACGACTGGAAATGAAACACTTAAGTTATCTAAACTTTATTCAAGCTCAGCAATTACAGCTTTTTCATAGGAACATTTGGAATGGAACATTTATGAATTTGGAAAGCTTCATTTAGGCATGAAACTTAGTAAAAAAAACTCAAATAATTTCAGTATTGGAAATGAATGTTTCATTCCAGTATTGTTGTTTCATTCCAGCGTTCTTCAGATGTAAGATTGTTAAGATCAAGCCAGTATTAGTTGTATATGGAATATTTATATAGATTATATGAGTAGAGTATTATAATATGTACATATAGAATTCATCAACTCTCATCTGCAGAGTTGCGTTTTTTTTTTGGCCAGAGTCAAACAAATGCTCGTTACTCGTTACTCTTTTATGGTTATTCGTTACTCGTTACTTTAACTTTTTTGTTACCGTTATTCTCTTACAACTCCTTGGGCATGTTGTCGTAGCTACCTTTACTTACCTCAACTCAATTCACCTCACTTATTTGCTGATCTCCTTTTACTTTGGTGCTAACGAGCGTCACTTGCTCTCGCTGCTTATATTTGTTTAGTTTCGTTGGCTTACTCGTTATGTTACTTAACATTATGTTGTCTAACATTGAGCTAACAGCGGCGCTGCCAAGAAATTTCCCTCAAAATTCCCAGCGTAAATAATTATGTGTTATCCCCCAGATCCAATCAAGCCGACTATCTCTCGCTCGCTCGCTCTCATTCTCTCTCTCTCTCTCTCTACCATCCACTGTCATTCTCTGTCATTACCTCACACTAGTTCGTTTGTCGATTAGCTCGCTGCGCTTTGTGTAACTCCCCCCCCCCCCCCCCCAAAGAAGTACTACTTACTAGCATTCCAAGTACTGCTCGCTGCAGTTCTGCTGTCTTCTTCTACTAACAGCAACAAGAATAACAACCAACAACCAACAACAAGCAATTAATGTTTTTCGTTTCTAACAACAACTCGAACAACCACACACTTACACACACACACTCACACACACACAACAACAACCAAACGCCGTCATGTGCTCCCTCTTTAGGTACACACACGCATACATAACACAAGCAAATGAATTCCATCGTCGTCGCCAACAACTGAATCTCTATCAGCAACAACAACAACAACAGCAACAGCAGATGCAACAACAACATGATTATTCGGATCTATTGAACAGCACGCTGGGTGGCGATGACAGCGCCAGCCTCTATGGCAGCGATACACACAAGAACAATCGACATCTCAGGATGGCATCCTATGGCATCTCCAGCGCTCGTTCGTTAAGCAATTTGAACTGTGAGGATGCGACAATAGCCGGATATAAGCGTTATTATGCTGGCTCGGAATGCGGCGTTGATATCAGGTGGTCTCTACAAAGAAAAAAAAAAAAAAACAAAAACAAACCCAAAACTCTCGCTCGCTCTCTCTCTCTCTCTGCCTCTCTCTAACACTCATGCTAAATGCTCATCAAAGTAGAGAATAGAACAGCTGACTTTGGCATGCCAAAGTTTGGATACTCTTGCAGTGCTCCGAGCAGATTGATTATAAAGCTAGCGAGTGCTTAGCCTAGACTTAAATGGAGCTTAAAGTCAACTAAATATGCCCAGTACAAAGCACTAAAAATGGGCATAAAGTATACTTGATCGGAACAATGATATCGGGTCTCTCAGCACGGTTCAAAGTATATCTTTGTCCGACTAGTGCCCTCTTGTATTACCAAAGCTTTGAATATGATAACTCCCTATACAGTTAAGTAAGCGAATACTCAAGGCATGTATAGAAATCTAGAGTTGTTCATGAAACGAAATGCCGCTTATATGATTCATTATTCCAATGCGAACGACTCCAAGAGAATAGAGCTGTGAGACCCAATTAAACAAAAACTTGCTTCAATTTTCTCTATGCCCATTGCAAGAGTATCAGATTAAAAAAGCATCACAAGCGAAATTCAAAATTCATCCTAGACTGTGCTATTTCCAAAAAAAAAAAAAAAAAAAAAAACATGGTTCCAAAGTTCTTCATGCATCCACACATAAGAAACACATCTTCTACATCTATCTATGCCATTATAGTGCTGCCTATCTATCCTCTGCATAGAGTTTTCCTCTGCTCCAAATTTGTGCTTTATTGACATGAAATTTTCTGAAAATTTCAGCTTTTTAGCTGTTAGTTGCGCTGCTTAGACATCAATTATGTAAATATCTTTCCATATATACACACAACATTTGGGACTATGAACACACATATTGATCGTTCGGAAAAGATGGATAGTATCTGCGCGAAGGCGTTCCTAAATGTTCTCAGCTCTGTTAATGTTAATGTGACGCTGTTAATGTTGGCTGTCGCCTGTTGCTGTTGCCAATGCTTGCAATACACTCATAGAAAATACTATGTATGCATTTATGTTGTGTTTGATAACATAAAGTGCTATTAACAGCGCTTCATTAACAGTTAACAGCAGCTTAACAGACAAGATTCCGAATGCTTGCAATCAGCCTAAGCCTTAACTTAACATAGCGAGGTCTCTGTTATCTTAACAGCTGCTTAACAGACAACAATGAAGCTCAGGGATTTCATTGAATTGTGAAAAAGGTCTTAGAAAAGTAACTGTAAAACTGCAAATATATACATCTGATGTAACCTATTGATACATATACATATGTATATGCAGTCTTTTAATAGCTAACTGTTGTGCTGAGGCTCTCCAAGATTTTGGTCCGCTTAATCATGAGACGTCTCTCTCTCTCTCTCTCTCTGTCTCTCTCTATATATCTTGATGATAGACAGCTAGCTTTTACTATAGGAAAGTTTTCTCATTTATCAGATGGTGTACCTGGTACTCTCCGTGTATATATGTCTTGACAATCTATCTAATTTGTTTATGGTGTTTGCTATAGGGAGTAATTGGGGGAAAACAAATGTAAAACACTGCCAACTCTTTAGACCCGCTGTCAAGCCTAGACGTTACACTGCCACGCCCCTTTTTGCATGTATTTTTGCTTTGGAATTATACTTTTGGTTTATTGATTTATGATTTATGATTTTCGTATAATGCCTGTTGCTGTTCCCTATGAAAAGCCCATCACGATTCTCGACTAATCTTGTAACTCTTTGTGCCCATCGCTTAGAGCTGCTGTTGGTGGTGCAACAACAGCGACTCTCGACAGCAATGCGGATGCCACGGCAATGGGCAGCATGAGCGTGGCGCGTCCGCCGCGCCGTCGCACACCGCTGCTGCACAATCAGCCGCATCTGGTGGCCAACTACTCGATGAGCGTGCTGCTGCGTGTGCGGCCCATGTACGCTGGACCCGGACGCTTGCGCAACGAGGTGGATGTGGCAGCGCCCAGGATCAAGGATGCCACCAGCAGTCTGCTGCGCGCCTATCCCGGCCCGTTGCAGGGTCGCAAGCTGCACAAGGACAAGATCATTAGCTTCTGCAAGGAGCAGATACGCTTGGGCCCATCGCGCTCCTGCAGCATTCTGTACGCCACACAGACAAAGCCGCTGGGCAGCGTGGACAAATATCGTGCCTCGCACGCGTTAATGTGGAATCTACTCATACTGCTGCTGCGACAGAATGGGGTAAGTCGACGGCTTGACCTTTGCCCTTACACTTAACAGCAGGTTAACATCGTCGCATCCCTTTCCAGGTCATTGCCGACACGGATGTGGGCGATCTGCTGCTGGAGAATCAGCGCGAATATCCGTATGCGCCGGAGCCGGAGGCGGATGCCGAATCAGCGGACACCGAATCAGCGGATGCTGACTCAGCGGCTGCGCGTATCGTGGCAGATCGTAGCGGGACGGCCAATGACTCAGATGGCGAGGCTGTGACAAAGGCACCAGCTGCCGCTGGGGCTGCGGAAACTGAACAGGATGGCGATGCAGATGCGGCTGGCACAGAGCCGCCCATGTCGGAGCAAGCTGCCACCGACAAGTTTCGCAGCTTTGTGCTGCGCGGCAACGTCGAGGAGGCGCTGCAATGGGCCACCGATCACAACCTGTGGACGCACGCGTTCTTCTTGGCCCTCTACGAGGATCGCTATGCCCTCACAGATGTGGCACAAAAGTTTCTCAGTCGCGCCATCAAAGCGAACGATCCGCTGCAGACGCTCTATCAGATGAAGAGCTGTCATACGCCCGCCTGCGTGAGCCAGCTGCGCGACGAGCAGTGGGGCGACTGGCGTTCGCATCTCTCCATCCTGGTGACCAATAAATCGCGCCAGCCCGAATACGATCGCAGCTCGGTGGTTGCCCTGGGCGATACGCTCTTTCAACGCGGCGACATCTATGCGGCGCATTTCTGCTATCTAGTTGCACAGGAGGAGTTCGGACGTTACGACAGCGGTGCCACGGAACTGACCACGCTGACAGCCAATGTGCCCAGGTGAGCAGAGAGTGGGAGTGGATTAAGCTGAGAAATCGATCGAGGGAGCAGGCATAGATAAGAATAATCGATAGTTCAAACTATAACTGCCCCCTCTCTATTTATCGATGAGTGTCATCACTAGATATCGATTAGCAAACTCTGATCGATTCAAATGCTTCTAGTTACAAGGACAGCTCGCACTTTATTCATTCAACCGTGCTTTCCTTTGCAGGCTCATCTTGCTGGGCGCCTCTCACTACAAGCCGTTCAATGAGTTTGCCAGCAACGAGGCAATCATCATGACGGAGATCTACGAGTACGCACGCTCGCTGTACGATAACAAGTTCAGCATTGTGAACTTCCAGCATTACAAATTCCTGTTGGCCACACGCATCCTGGACTATGGGCAACATTTCCGCTGCACCAACTATCTGGAGCAGATAGCCAATCACATTGAGCTCAAGCCGGATAGCTACGATGCGGACTTTATAAAACGAGTAAGCTCTATAGACATTCATATATATATGTATAGATGTATATGGTAATATCTGATATTGTGGTTTAGGTTTGCGGACTGGCCGAGCGCTTGCGCTTTTACGATCCCATACTGATCAATCGTGTGTCCTTTGCAAGTCCAACGAATGCAACAAACGGCGGTCAGGCGGCGCCACAAGTCGGTGCACCTGAGGAAAAGGAATGGCTGCGTCAGCTGCGCGCGCTGGCTGATCAGGTGAGTTGTGGCAGCTGTTGCATGCTCGACAATTGTTAACGGTTTCATTTGCAGCAGCCACAAGGGCAACAACATCTAGAGCAGCAGCAACAGCAGGCGGACATTGATCAGCAATTCGTGGATTTGAATAAGCAAATGCGCGAGCTTAACATGCAATATGAGGACACCATGCAGCGTGAGCAGGAGACGCAGCAGGAGCACCAGCAACAGCAGCGACAGCAGCCGGAATACTATGAGCAATCGGCTCAAGTGCAGCCGAGTCACGAGCAAGCGCTCACCGATAGCTATGCGCCGCCCCTGTACTACGATCCGAATACAGCACAGCAGCAACAGCAACAGCAGCAGCAGCAACAACAGCAACAGCAACATCTGTATGATTCCTCACAGCAACAGTTGAAGCCGAGCGCTGTCTATGGGCACATTGAGACTGCAACCGAGGCATATGGCAGCCACAATACGCAGGCCTATGATGCACAGCCAGCAGCAACATCTGGCTACGATTATTGGCCCGGGGATGGACAGCAGCCGTTTGGCGATGAGGTAGGTGTAGTAGCAGCAGCCGCAACAGCAGCAGCAGTAGCGGCAACAGTTGCGTCGCACTTTTAGTTACAAATTTTGCTCAGAGCCCATACATTCTTCTTCTTCTTGGTTATAAATTTTGTGCATTTTATATGATTATACAAATTTGATTTAGATTTAAACTCGCTGTTGTGGTTGGCATTAAGTTTATGATTTGTTTTATGTAGTTTTATTTTGGAAATTGTTCATAATTTTGTTAAGAGCGACAATTGTAAAAGCGCGCTGCATGCAATTCTCAATCAGCAATCTGTTGCTAATGTTTCTAATCACACACACACACACACACTTGGAATGCAGCTGGCGCAGATGGAGAGCAATGACCAAATTGCTGACGACAGCAACAACATGAGTAGCAGCAATCTAGACACTAGCAACAATATTGTAGCAACAGCAGCAGCTGAAACTGTAGCTGAAGCTGAAGCTGAATTAGATGCTGATGTGGAGCAAACACAGCTGAAACAATTGCAGCTGCCGGAGCCAAGTGCTTACAGCAGCAACAGCAAGAGCAGCAGCAGCAGTAGCAGCAACATAATGGACCATAGCAACAATCGCTTTAAACACAATGCCTTAAAGCTGCACGCTGCTGGCAATGGCAAGCAAATGCATTGCGCCAGCCATGACCAGGACAAGAGCAAACAATTGTCGCGCAAATTGCAATTTGGCAACAGCAGCAGCAACGCCAACAATATTGCGGAAATGACTGCAACAACAACAGCGAAGCCATTTAATTTGAATGATGTAAGTAGCATTATAGCCATAAATAAACATAATGCTACCAGCAACAGCAGAAGCAACAGCAGCAGCAGCAATTATGCAACAGCAACAAGCAACGCCACATTAACAACAATTGCTAGTCGCGTGAATAGTTTACAAAGTAGCAACAATTTGATAAATGTTGTGCCCAAAACATTAACCACGCCCACGCGCTTCATACCAGCCAAGCCGGTGTTAGCCAAGCCAGCCACAACAACGACAGCAACAGCAACAAGCACAGTAGCAGCAACAACAGCCACAGCGGCAGCAGCAACAGGCGGTGTTAAGCGCGTCAACTTTGATCTGCCCACGACAATTGATGAGGCAGCGGAGCAAGACTGCGATATCGATAACGCTAATGATAACGATAGCGATAACAGCAAGAGCTACAGCCTAGCGCTGACCAAACACAGCACGAGCAACAACTATAGCCTAAGTAAAAGCACCAGCAGCAGCGGCAAAAGCAAATCTCATATTGTATTCAATGGAACCTATCCGATTGATATGCCATTGAGCGCTGCTCAACAGCAGCAGCAGCAGCGCAGCAGTTACGATGCTGAGGCGAATGCTGATCGCAGTGAGATGCTGCGCTATCGATATATGATGCATGATTATGTTATTAACGAGGATGCCGAGGGTGAGGAGCTGGCCGAGGATGACTATGACGATGATGATGATGATGTGGACGAGGATGACGATGATGATGATGATGAGAACGATGTTGGCTATGACGAATACGATGATTATTATGTGCTGCAGCGCAACGATGATTTTCTCAGCAAATTGGGCATCATCAAGCAGCGGCAACGGTACCAGCAGCAGCCGCAGCAGCAGGAGCAGGAGCAGCATCACCGGCAACAACATCGTCAGCGACAGCCAGTTGCAGTAGCAGCGGCTGCCACGCCTCAACATGTGTGGTCAATGCAGGAGCTAATTGCCAACCCGGCCATACCGATCAACTATAAGAAAATGTGCACCGAAGTGGAGCAGAGCTTGAGCAAATTCGAAGCCTATTTGGATGCGAAAAAGCAAACAACAACTACAATAACAACAGCAACAGCAGCGACTGCAAAGGCAACACCCAGAATGGGCGTGGTACGCACATTCGACATCGATGCCCCCACCGATGATGGCAATGGCGGCGCCGGCTTGGCTCTTAGCACTAAGAAACAGTTATAAATCGCAATATGTAAAAGCAATGCGCACAGCGTTGCCAGACTGCATAAAAAAGAAGAGGAAAAGAACACGCTGCGCGCGTCGTTTGATTGCTGCTCGTGACAGCTTTTCATTTTCGCTCTCTTTCACTCTCTCTCTCTCTTACTTTGTCTGTCTCTGTCTCTGTCGCTCGCCTTTTAAGTACCTGCGCGCAATTCAGAATCAAAGACATACATACATATGTATGTATGTACAACAGTTAACTGTAAAAATGGCACTCTGTGATTTCATATGCAAACAAATAATGTTTAGGCAATATATTATACAGTTATATACAAAACACAAGAACTAAATGCAAAATTGTAAGCTTAAGCTATAGAAATATTCAATTGCAATTCGATGAGCGCCTGGTTTAAGTTTCTATTTTTGACTGCGCCAGTTGAGTAACTAAAATCTCATTTTATGTATTTCACTAACTTGAAATCTATATATCTATCTATTTACTGTCTATATATATATACATTTATATATATATTTATATATTAATATATATTTATGTATGTGTGTTATCGCACTTTAACTAATTTCTTTGCTTTACGTTTGCCAAATAACCAAAACTAATCAACTGCCATTTCTCCAAACCCCTACCAAATCCAAAAAAAAAAACTCAAAAACGTTTCATGTCTGCAAAAAAAAAAAATCGCACGCACATTTATAAAAAACCAACAACAAATTATCGAAAACACCAACAACCACCACAACACTCGATCAACAGCAACATCAGCAAAGGCTACCCACAATTTCGATGCCAAAATCAAAGAGTTACGATGACGACGATGGAGCTGTTACGGCCGGAAATTCTACATCCGGCAGTGCAACAGCAACGACAGGCAAACAGCAGCAGCAACAGCAACAGGCCGGAGCCGGCGGCTTGCCAAGGTAAGAATGCAGCAATGCAGCAAATCCAATAAAGAAAATCTTAATCCTTTACATGCCTTACAGCGGACAGGGCAACCAGAACTCCGGCTGGTTTGGTGGGCTGTGGAACAAGTTTTCGCTGAAGCCCAAAAATCAAATGATTCTGCCGGATGACAAGAATCCGACAATTGTTTGGGATAAGGAGCGCAAGTGCTGGACAAACACTGAGGGCAATGCCGATGAGGCGGAATCATTTAAGCCGCCACCAAAGATGAGCGACATGGGCGCCACACCAGCACCAGCTCTCAATTCCTTGGGTAATGTGCCAACGCCAATGGCGGCGCCAAATCTGTTGCCACAGCAGTCTATGACTGCACCGGAGCTGTCCAACAATGCGAATGTCTATGAGAATCAAGGGGAATACGATTACGGATCGGGCTATCAGGAGACAATGTATGCAGGCGCACCAGCAGCAGCCGAAATCCCTACAATGCCTGCGCCAGCTGCCTCGCCGGCACCTCCAGTACCGACAGCAACCGCAGCCGCAGCAGGAGCAGGAGCAGCAACGGTGCCTGGTGGCGCGCAGCCAAAGCTTCAATCGAACATGTTCAAAATTAAGCGCAATCGCAGTACGTGTGGCAGCTAGCCAATGTTGTTGCCAATATTCATGAATTTGCATTGTTTTTATTGCAGCGCTGAAGAACTCCTACGTTGATGTATTCAATCCATCTGGTGCGCCCATCTCGGCAGCGCCACAGAATGTGCTGGCGCCAGCAATGGCGCCGGTTGCTGTGCCACAAGGCGGTTTCTTTGTGCCTGGCGCGATGCCAATGCAACAACAGCAGCAACCACAACAACAACAACAGGCGCAGCAGCAGCAGCAACAATAGCAGCAATTGGAGTAGCGAATGAAAATGTTAACAAATAATATTATATAGAATTCCCAAGTAATACGTAAGCAACACAAGAGCTGAACAACTACAACAACAACAACAACAACAACATCGACAACGACACACAAACACGAGCAACAACAAAAATACTTTCTTTTATAACTTTCTGCATGCTGGATAGGACAGACAGATAAAACACGAGACAAATATAACGAATTGGCAGCTTCACTGCGTGTGTTTTCGTTGTTTACTTCGATTTTGTTTTTGTTTTTCGTTTCGCTTCCTTCCTATATCTGTCCTTACAAAATCAGCCAAGCAAACCGTAATTGTATGACTGTGTGCGTTTAGTGAAATTGATATCAAATTTATGTATGATTAGCGAAAAAGAAAAAAAAAATATATATATATATATAAATGTAAATTTGTATTTCCCCTCCTTATGGAAACGATTGGAATATGCCATTCAGCCACACCTCCTCCCCCACCCAAGCAAGAAAATCGTTTGCTTAACTAAATATATATATATATATATATATATATATATATATTATATTAATTAATTCATTATTCTCTTGTATTTTTGCATAAATTTTAGTCGTACGATTCTTAAATTCGATTCTTGATTTACGTTGATAGAAAAAGCAAAGCGTGTACGTATTGTTGAATGGAAGAGAAAGAGTATGAGAAGAAAAGAGCAGTTTCGAAATGTTTCAAAATATATATATATACATATTTATAAGCAAAAGATTATTGAAAGCGAAAAGGAAAAATTTAGTTGTTCTACTTTTTGCATTAATTCAATGTATAAATATATATATATATACATATATTGATATACATAATTCATATTTATCAAATATTCCATTTGCTTCAATGTTTTTTTTTTGTTTTTTTTTTTTTTTTGTATGCAGAAACAATGTTAATTTTTGATTGTTACGACTTTTTGTCTCTATGTGTTAATTATTATAATTTTTTGTGTAAAATCAGAATTAATTTAATTTTTAGTTACCTAAAACAGAAAAGAAAAAAAAAAAAACAAACTGGTGCAGGCAAAAATAAAACAAATCGATTTAAAAATACAAATACAAAATGAAATTTATAACTTATATATATATGAATGAAATATATATATATATATGAATATTGTGCACTTATGTATGATGTACAAAAGCAACTAATTGGTATATCGTATATAATGCTATAATTAAAGAAATTGCATTATACAAACCCGAAATGTACACAAAGAGCTCACATATGATTACGCCTATACGGATATATATATAAATATAGTATTTATATATATATATAGGCAGAGCTAAAATTGACACTTTTTTCTCTCCCTTAGAAATTTTATTATTTAATTAGCCTATAAAAAAATAAAACAAAATAAATAAATTCATAAATAAATTTGAAATTCTGTGTTTTGCCATTTAGAATGTATTCCATCACATTTGTGGGAAAGAGATGCCAATAGAGGAAGGCGGATTTGGGGAAAACAGTTCATATTTGCATTGGCGGAACTAATTTGGCGCAGGGCTGCACAACTTTGCTGGCCTTTTGAACAATTAACTCAGTTCATATTGCATAGGCTCCACTTCAAATTATGGCAGTTCCATCACTGGATCTGTTAAGCTCTTTTGTAACGTCTTGCACAGTTCAAAGAGATGATCTACTATTAGCTAATTATGTTTTATATTTTTATATTTATTTATATAAAGCTAACATTTTTTTTTTGTATAAAATACATATATAATCGTTATGGTATACAGGGTATTTTCTATTCGTCACTTCTTTCACAACATTTCTTTTAGGTTAGTTGACGAAATTTCTATAAATTTTTCTGCATGAATTTGGCAACATTTTGTAAGTCATGCACAAAGTTAACTTTATCTTATGCTAATTGTTTAAACTGTTTGCTTATTGTTTAATTGTCTACATTTTCATCATCACTAAGCAGCTCCTCGTCGCCGCTGCTGCTGCTGCTCTCCGAGGAGGAGTCGACGCCAAAGCTATCTGCCAATGAGTAAATGTCCTTCAGCTCGGGCAGCTGCTTCGTTGGTTTTTCTGGCTTCGATGGCTCTGATGGCTCAGCTCGCTCAGCTGGATCATCTGTCTCGGCCTTGGCACGTTTCGCGGCCGTTGGTTGCGGATCACTGCTAGCTGCCTCCACTTCCTCATCTGCAAAGATCGAAAGCTACAGCGATTTGTATTGAATAGGTCGAGTGTAAAACTTACCGCTATCAATCGGCTCAAGGCCAGCAGGTGGACGCTGTTCGTAGCTGATGTATATGGTTGGATATTCGACAATTGTCTTGCCCGCCAGGTTCGAGCGGAGTGTTTTGTAGGCTGCCAGTGGATAGCAGCGTTGGCCACTCCGTTTGACGCCCTCGGCACGCAGCCAGAGGCTGAGCTCGCCAATGCCAGCGGTCTGATGATGTTGCAGCACCTTGCGGTGTGTGAGGGCCAAGTCCTGCTGTATATCCAGATATTTCTCCAGCAATTGTTCGAGTGTTTGCTGTTCACTGCAGCGCTTTTCCACGAAGCGTGTCGGCGTTTCGCTATCCATATGAACAAACAGCCATTCGATTTGCCAGTAGATGCAGCGCTCCTTCCAGTTCAGATAAGTGGTGTTCTCCTTGTGCCGGCTGAAGTTGTCCAGCATGAATTGCAGACGCGTGCCGCGCTCTGTGGCTGCATTGCGAAGCCGATGCAGTGGCAGAGGCAACTGTCGCTGCTGCTGCGTATAGCGTTTGCACGGGTCCTTCTTGCGATGCTCGGCATAGCGGGTGCACTCCTCGAGGAAGCAGTAGTCGCTCATGAATTCACGCTCGGTCATTTCGCTGATGGGCATGAATTTGGTGCGATCCCGTTTGCCGTCGCACTCCAGCTCCCGCTTGTGGATCTGTACGCAACTGAGGCAGCACGTTTTCACCTCGCATTTGGGGCAGGCGTAGCGCGCCGGCTGGCTGGCGCAGACCTCGCAGTTACCCAGACGCGAAATCCGACTGTTTGTGTGTGTGTGCAATAGTATGAATTCAATTATATTTAATTTTGTATTTTATGGCACTTACCTAGATGCTGGCACATCAGTTGTTTCCGTCATGTCTTTTATTATTATTGTTTACACGTGCGTGCACTCATACACTCACTCACGCACTGATACACTCACTCATGCTCACACGTACGCAAGCACACGCATACAGCAGCTAACGTAAACACAGCAAGCACTGAAATTATCGCAATTTTGTAGTTATGCCATTCACACGCTCACACGTGCAGCGTGTATGAAGTGTAGAAACGCGGTTTTTTCGGTTGAAACTAAACATAAATTTTAAATGATTTCTACTAGTGAAACAAAAGCTGCCAGCCTACGGTGACACCGGTGCCACTGTACACTGCTTTGTAAATGACATTTCCGGCCACTTAACACATTATAATTGTTAATAGAATAGAAATTTGCTGTGAACATTAAAAAAAAAATGTAAATATATTGAACCGCGAGAATGCGCCTGTGTGTGTAGGTATGTTTGTGTGTGTCTACATGCGTGTTTTATCGATGTTGCCACCTAGCAAATTTTTGTTTGAAATGTATCGTTATCGCTATTGCCGATATTAACTGTAAGCGATATTTATCCACTTGTTGCGAAATCGCGCCTTATCAAATATACGTTATCTTTGAATTTCTTTTGATTTTGCATGCTTAAAAATCAATAAATGAAATATTTGCATGTGTAAATTTGTGTGTCATCGTTGCATGTCCGATTAATGAACACATTGATCTTATCTAATCTTTTCTTGGTCGTGCACGCATCCATATTGTTTATATTATAAATATGTCAATTCACTTTAGAAGTTGATCAATTATATATTTTAACGTAGAGCTTAACATTGATAGCAAGAGAAGCACTGAGAGCGATAGAGAGAGCTTTAACATAGACAGAAAGAGAGAGTGAGAGAGAGAGAAAGCGTAGAACGTAATAGAATGCCATTGCGAAAGCCTCTTCGCTTAGTACGAACAATAGCAACGATCTGCCTGGATGTAGCATTATTGAGCGGCACCAGACGGATGAACAACACAATCAAATTGCGCCAGTTGGCCACAAAACCGCCCACACTGAAGGCGCTGCAGAGGCCAGCTGTCGGTATTAATGGCTGCTCCCAGCCGCAGCCGGATCAGATGAAGTACTCGTTCTCGGAGCTCGTCTTCTCGGATCGCCGTAGGACGCTCACCGAGCAGGATGCTCGAGAGGAAGCGGAATATAATGTAAGTTAACTTCCTGGCTGGGGTGCATAGCTCTCTTAATTGTTGTTGCTTCTAGGCTGACATTGAGCAGCTGAAAGATCTGCAGTCGAATCGGGAAAGCATCCAGAACTCTATTAACACTCGCTGCGATACGCTGGCCATTACATTGAAGTATCTAGAGCGGAGTGGCTTAACCTTAGAAGATGTGGAGAAGCTGTCCGTTATTCATGTAGCCGGCACCAAGGGCAAGGTACGTAGCTTCTGTCAACTCCCTTCACCCAATTCCAACACCTGCCGCTTTTCCTGGTTGATAAACAATACGAAATTAACACGAGGTGCCAAAACAATAATAGAAAACAAGTCTAGCTTCACGTTTACCTGCTTCTATAAATACATATGTATATATATATATATATATATATATATATATATATATATATATATATATATATATTTGAATAGTAGGAAATTGGCTTAAAAAGTTCATCAACTATTCAAAGATATTGCATATACATATATTGAGTTGACCAAAAGATTAGATAGGGCAAATTTTCATTAAGTTAACTATCTATTGATAAACTCTAAGCACTTAACACCTTTGAAATGATTCAAAATCCAAACGGAATTTGATAAAAACAAATATTGTTTTTTTTTTTTCGTTTTGTTTTTAGATTTATTTTTTTTCTGATTTCATTTTTTGTTTTTAGAATTTAGTTTTCTATGAAACAGAAATCAGGAATCTAGAGAGTTTCTTCATACAAACGACAAATAGAACAAAACCAATATACTCATTTCACTTTCGTGAATGAGTATAAAGACTGAGTACGTTTAATTCATAGTTTTAGCAAAAAAATATTTAGTTGAGTATAATTATAAATTATAATTATAATTATTAATTATAATTATATAATTATAGTTATATTGAAAACGAAAGTTTCAAAAATCAATTAGAAAAGAATATGAAATATTAAAAATTATTTTGTTTCTATGCTTCTTTATTTACAAAATTTTACATATTTTTTAATTTTTATATTAGTATTTATTAAAAAAATATGTATATGATTTTGTTTTAATATTTATTTATTTTTTGTGTAATATATTTGTTTATTTAGATACATAAACATAAACATATATAATTGTACGTATTTTCTCACAGTGTATGACATAATTAGCATGTTCATTGACAACTGAGAACTGATAGCTGATAGCTGATAAGTGAGAAGTGAGAAGTGAGAAGGGAAAAGTGTTAATTTTATATGTGAATAGCGAATGCAATCTGTGCTGGATTCGGCTAGAACTATTTTAGTTGTTTTGATTTGATGCTGTGACTGAGTTTGGTTTCATTTAGGGCTCCACTTGTGCGCTGACCGAGTCGATATTGCGGCAGTATGGAGCACGGACGGGCTTCTACAGTTCGCCCCATTTGGTGTCCACGAACGAGCGCATACGGATCAATGGCGAGCCGCTGGCCAAGGCGAAGTTCACGCATTTCTTCAGGCTGGTCTACGATCGTCTGCTGTTCGGTCGGGAGCATGAACGGGATATGCCGGCGTTCTTTATGTTCCTGACCATCGTCGGGTTCCATGTGTTCATCGCGGAGCGCGTGGATGTGGTGGTGCTGGAGGTGGGCATCGGCGGTGAGCTCGACTGCACGAACATTTTGCGCAATGTGCGCACGGCGGGCATCACGTCCCTGTCGCTGGAGCATACTCAAGTGCTGGGCAACACCATCAAGCAGATCGCCTGGCAGAAGGCGGGCATCATCAAGCCCGGCGCCCACGTCTATACGCACGTGACGCAGCCGGAGTGCCTGCAGGTGATACGCGAACGGGCAGCCGAAAAGCACGCCCAGCTCTTCGAGGTGCCCCAGGCCGAGGAGCTATTCGCCCTCAATCAGCGCTCCGACTTTCTGAACAGCTGCAACGACTATGTTCGACTCAATGGGTGTCTGGCCATCGCGTTGGCCTACGACTGGCTGCGCCAGTCAACGGGTCGACTGCACCGCGACTATCCCCTCAACTGGCTGCAGCTCACCGACGAGGTGCTCCACGGCATCAGCCAGGCCAATTGGCCCGGTCGCTGCCAGCTGGTCCAATACGAGAACATGCGCATCCATCTGGATGGAGCCCACACAGTGGAGAGCATACGCGTCTGCTGCAACTGGTATCGGAAGAGCACAAAATCAAGGTATGCCATGGGTGACATGAGATGTAGTTGATGTGTATTCTATACTAATTATACTTGGCATACTTTATCACATCATATCATGCTCCTATCTATTCTCTGCATTCCACGAGTACTATCTATGTCCATATGCTGTATTTTGGAACCAGATCATCTGTACTATCTATGTCCTGTACTCCTTTAACTATCTATTACATCTGTCTATCTTTCCATCTATAAATCTATCCACGTATCCAATCATATCTACTATCAATCTTATCCCTACTATCCTATGCTATCTTCTACTATCTATACAATCCTTACCATCTATCTATATAGTTATACAATCGACACTATATCTACTATTCTACATCTATCTATCCTTCCCATACATATCATCTATATTATCTGTACCAATAATGCTATAGTTATACATTCTACACTATATCTACTATCCACACTCTGTTCTTTTCCATCCCATGCCATATTTACTATCTATCCTACATCTATCCTTCCTATACATATTATCTGTACCAATAATGCTATAGTTATACATTCTACACTATATCTACTATCCACCCTCTGTTCTATTCCATCCCATGCCATATTAACTATCTATTATACATCTATCTATCCTTCCTATACCTATTATCTATATTATCTGTACCAACAATGCTATTGGTACTATCTACCGTCTATTCTGCTACTATTTCTACTACTATGTCTTTTCTCTACATCATCTATATTCCATATTCTATTCTGATCTCTCTCTCTCTCTTTCTATTTACAGTCGCAATCCAAGTATCTTGGTCTTTAATCGCACTGGTGATACGGATACAAAGGCCCTGCTGCAGGTGCTGCAGCAGTCGTGTAGCTTCGATATGGTTTGCTTTGTGCCCAATTTGTCCAGCGCCAAGGCCAATGATCCCAACCAGACCAGCGTCTGCTACAGTGATGAGGCGCAGCGGGAGCGAGCCAGCCTGATCGCCGAAGCCTGGCAGCAGCTGTGCGATGCTAATAAGCAGGTCAACCGCGGGCGAATGTACAACACGGTCTGGGATGCCTTCGTTGAGATGCGCAAACGTTATCCGGCCCACATTGAGCTGGATGTGCTGATCACGGGATCCATTCATTTGTTGGGTGCTGCCATATTGATGCTAGACGATTTCCATTTGGGGGCGAGGGCAACAAATGGCAGCACCTGAGTGAGAACACCTGCGTTGCACTGTACTTGAAGGCTATGTTTCTCTAGATTATAGACTAGATATTTAATCCCAGATATTTCCCCATAGGACTCGAAATCGGACTATATTACCAATTGGCCAAATTATAAATTTCTTCCAAGCTGCTACGAGAATCTAGCAGCAGCTAAGGCACAAACCCAGTTTCACTTGTAACGTAATTATATGCTGAACATAGTGAACAATTATACAATATGAAAAAAAATATATATATATATATATTTATTTGGTTTGCTTGTTCTTTGAATTGCCAAACAGGTGGTATTCGCAAGGTGCGCCATGCACATGCAGCTGAACAAATGTTCCGCATAAAAATCAACTCGAAATTAAAACAAGTAAGAAAACTCTAGTCGAGACTGCTCGACTAGGAGATACCCGGAACCCTCCAATCTGATATTCTACTCACTCTACACTACGTTTAGGCACACATACATACACACGCACGTATTAAAACGCGCTCTCCTAACTGCGCAGTAAGCAGCGACTGCGCTCAGGCTGCGCTGCAGGGTGGGCAATATAATACGAATTTATTTGTTGAATAATTTAATTTCTAGCCGTCCAATCTTAATGA